TTTTAATGTCGATACCAACTTCGCTCTTAATGTCAATTTTGATTGCTCTTTTTGCCCTGGTGATGGCGGCGGTGGGCTCAACATCGACTTGGATGGCTCGGAGAGTGGAACCGGTGATGAGTTAAGTTCCATCAGTGTGGATGGAGGGTGAAGCGATTTCTCCCAGAGATGAGATCTAAGTCTCTGAAGCCAAAGTTTCAAGGCTGGTTTAGTGAGCCTCTTGCACGCAGAACAAGATTGCGTCTGGTGCTCTTCACCCAAACAGAAAAGACAGCGATCGTGTCCATCCAATTGTGGGATCTTATTAGTGCAGACCACACACCACTTGAATGGTGCTGGAGAAACCATAAAAGGTGGGAAGGAAAGGGAAAGGGCGGGTGAGGGGAGAATAGGTTGGGGAGTGAAGGAGCGAACAACGCTGGAGAAACCATAAAAGGCGGGAAGGAAAGGGGAAGGGCGGGGGAGAGGAGAATAGGTTGGGGAGCGAAGGAGCGAATAAAAAGGGATAAAACTCAATGGGTAAAAGAAAAATAACTCACAGGAGAACATTGATTAAAAACAGAAAGGCAGATGAGAAAAATGGGTGAGGTACAGACTATTGATTTGAAAAAAGTTGCTCTAGTGGTCCAATATAGGTCTAAACTATACGGCAGCTAAAAGGAACTGAGAGGACCTTCCTATGCGGCAGCTAAAAGGAACTGAGGGTGGGCAGAGCATGCACTCCACAGAGGAACGTCCTACTAATCATGTATTTTAAGCTCTAGAAACTTCCGACATGTCCTGCACAGGCGCAGAACAACCCAGTTGTGTGCATTCACAGAGGCCACAAAGAAGAAATATAATTAGATTATTGTTCATCCATTCTGACTTGGACACATTCTGTTCCCATGTTGTTTTTTTCATGATGAACAACTTTTCATAGCAACAACCAAGTTAGTTTTATATTTTTAAGGACACCAGCTTGATAAAACACAAGCATAATCCCCAGAGGTTCATTATTAGGAGGTAAACATATTTGGTATACTTCTGCCCTCAAGGAACTTCAAGTTCCATGATTTCTCTCTAGTCAAAATAGGAATTTGGGGTGTGTGTGTGTTCCAACACTGATGAATTTTCAGAAGCTATGAAATAAATCAAATATGCTTTTATTACAGTTGAGTAATAAAAGGGAAATAAGAAGCAATACAATCAAACCTGTTCTTAGGGATCTGCAAACAAGTATGGTAGATAATCTCCATTGAGAAACTGTATCCATCAGTAGCACTGAGGCATACCATACCTGGAGAATAATATGCCTAATGTTGGGAGCATGATAGTAGCATGGCCCTACTTCTAGTAATCGGGTAATGCCCCCCTGACATGATTCCCTTATGAAGGTTTTTGCTATTGTTTTCATTGCATTCTCAAGACATATTTACCCTAACAAGCATTTAATTCAACTAATCAATTTGTTTTGGTATTTTATCTACTGCCCTTGTTTGTGCTGAACTATGTGTATTTTTCCTTGTTTGATTTGTTTTCTACCCAATTTATATGATTAGGTATTCTGGGCATCTTACAGATGGGAAGGTGGAATGGAAGCTTGCCAAAAGAATGAATAAACAGGAGACTGGCAGTCATGACGAAAGTACACAGATGTGGTCAAACAAAGAGCAAGGTTTAGTAGTAACATGGGAGCATCACCATGAGCTTTAAAAACACACAAGTCATTGAATGCTGTTCTCAGACCTCAGTGAAAGGAAAGAAACAAGTGCTTAATTCCTATACTTCAGCTTCCCCCTATTTAGCAGGACTGATGCCTGTTTTCCAATCCTTCCTAAGCAGTTACCCTTGTTTTGTTCCTGCCCTTGGGAGAGATTTCAGGGATTTTTTTAAATGTTATTTTGAGTTACTAGAATTCCCATTTCTTCACATTTATATCTCTTCCTGGGTGTATAAACTTTTGAATTAATGAGAAAAATACATGAAAGTATGTGCATTAAAATTTAGGCTGTAATCCTAAGCATCTATCTATCTATCTATCTATCTATCTATCTATCTATCTATCTATCTATCTATCTATCTATCTATCTATCTATCTATCTATCTATCTATCTATCTATCTATCTATCTATCTGTCTGTCTATATCTATATCTATATCTATATCTATATCTATATCTATATCTATATCTATATCTATATCTATATCTATATCTATATCTATATCTATATCTATATCTATATCTATAGCTATATATATATCTATCTATCTATCTATCTATCTATCTATGCTTAGGATTGCAGCCTAAATTTTATATATATAATTAATTCTGTAACAAAAGGGTGTTGACCAATATGTAAATATACTCAGGACTATACTCAGCCATGATTAGCATTGTTTGTGGAAGCAATAAATTACAACTGACTGGATTACCTGCAATTTGTTCTTTTTGGGGCAATGAGATTATCCATGTTGTCGCTTTTAAAAATGTAACAATTGATAGCAACAAATTTGCTTTTGTTTTTGCATTTAGTAGTTACTACAAAAAAGTTTTATGCGTATCATTTGGGGAGATTTGTGGTTCTTTTTTTTTTTTGCATTTTCAATGTACATTACACAGTAAAAAAAATTAAAACTATTGTAATATGCCTACAGTACACCTGAATAAAAATTCAGTTGAGAGAGAGAATACATGCTTGGTTATTCTTTAAGGATTGGTTTTTCAGCAGAATACACAAGCTCCCAAGACATCCTGTCCACAGAAGCAGATGACAGGAAAGCCTATTATGTTTTCTCTTTCAGCATCTGATATAATTTTTCCAAGGGTCATGTGGAAAATACAATTCAACAGGCATTTCAGAACTTCCTTGAGGGTGCAGTCCTGTACAAACAAACCGGGCATTCATTTGCTGAACTGCACAGTCTGCTAAACAAAATGTATCACACAAATTCAGAATCCATAGGGGGGAAAGCGTTTAGGTAGGAGAATGGTGTAAATTATGGCTGAGTATATCAAATCATGACGTTTTCATTGATTGCCAAGTTGGCTCCTAGAAAACATGGTTCCCTGCCTCTGTCGAGAGCCTTGATATGGCAGTACAGCCCCTTGTGACTGTTCCCCTACTTCTCCGTTACGCTTCAGTTGTGTACAACTAGGCTTGGTTAGGGTCTTATGTCTCACAAGACAAGATAGGGAGGGCAAATAAAGTGACTGGTGAAAAATGGGGCGTTGAGAGGTAAAAGCCTAAAACTCATTTAGTTTTGACAAAACTGCATTAAGAGCTCAGTTCTTAGTGGCATTAAGACAGCTTCATACAGATAGTTTTGTATACTTGAAATTTTACTTCTGCAGCTAGAAAAACAAGCCCAGCCTCAGGAAATGTACAGGGTTATTAATAGGTCTCCTGCCACTAAGGAAGTTACTTCGTTTGCAGTCACCTCAACAATGTAACATCAGGCTTCCTTCAGTTGATACCTTCTAGATATGTTGGGATAGCAGTCCTGACATATATAGCCTTTCTGTACTGTTGTCTTTTTATAGCTACAAAAAATAATTGAATTGCACAAGATTCTTTCAAAGATTTCTGCTTTTACCTAATCCACAACCTGTCATATTTAAATTGTTTTTATGATATTTTACTGTAAGCCACCCAGGGTAGACATTGTCTAAATGGGTGGGACAAAAATCAAACAAATAAACAAATAAACAAATAAACAAATAAACAAATAAACAAATAAACAAATAAACAAACAAACAAACAAACAAACAAATAA